CTGGATGCTGCTGCTTGTGGCAAACTATGCACTGCCAGTCAATCTCATTTAATTCCCATGTTATTCTGAAATAAAAAAAGTTGTACGCTGAGGCGAGCGACTGCGTCTTGTCGACCGCCGGCTGTTGCCGCCTCTTCCACTTTTACTGCCATTATCCGTTTGTTTTTTGTCCCCCTGGCGGCGGCCGGCCCAAGGTCGCGGCAGAGCGGGCCGGGCACACGGGTCTCTAGCCGGAGCCGGCCGGGTCGCATTCCCACGCGCTGCGGTAACTGGCGACGTTCCGGCTCCGGGTCGCGCCCGGGAGATGGGCCGCGGAGGGGCCGGAGGGGGGGGGGGGGGGTCGCCACGGTGGCCTGGCCGGTGGGTGAGGTCATCTGGGAGGTGGCCGGCCGGGAACGGGCGGAGCGAAAGGCAGTTTGTTTTACTGCAGCTGATTTACAAGGGCGGTGTACAAAACGCAGCGGGCAAAGAATCAACCAAACCCGACTGTATGGGACATCATCCCGGTGGTCACTGGTCACTTTCGTCAAACACGTTGAACGTATCTCACGTTGCCTCAACTGCGACTAGATTTTTAACACTAAACGCTAGTTTTAAAGAGCAAGGCGCTGCTCCAAATCGCGAGACTCGGCGCACATCTGGGCGGCAGAGAAAGCGACATGAGAGCTGGCCACTCTTATGACGTATGCAGCGCTTCGGTCGCGACATGATGTCCTTCGAGGCGGGGTGCGGCAAAACCATGCCCTAGCCAAGGGATCGTCCAGAAAATACGTCCGTTTTTGTCTCCCATTTATTCAGCAAGTTGCGGGAGCTCGGCGCCTGCAAGACTCGGGGTAGGCCACCCCGCAGTACACGCATGTACAACGGACAAGATGTTGCCTACCTGGCAAGGCGTTATGAGCGCCTCAAAGAACCTGAACTTTGCAGTTTCGCCGTGAGGGGCCCGCGGGGAACCCGGAACCGGGTTGGCAACCCGTCAGCCTGTGGTGCAGCCGCGCGCGCGGGTTGCCTACCCGCCGTCGGTAAGGCGCGCGCCCCCACCACGACCGCTGCCAGGGCAGCAGCCCGGGATGGAGGGACTTTACTATGGCGGCCAGACGCGTGGAGGGTAATAGAAAGGGGAGGGGGGCAGGAGCATGCCTGCGTGCCGCCTGCACTAGGATCGGACTACAATCGGCATGCATCACCCCGAGCTGCCGACCGGCACTGGGGGTGCGCGTGCACAGCACGCGCAGCCCGGCATGCGGAAGGGGAAGTACCGGTGACGGGGACCGAGCATTGTGCGCGAGAGAGGGAGCAGAGAGGGAGGAGAATCAGTCAGGGAAAAAACTACTGTCGTTCACAATCAGTACCGCACACACCATACGGACACATGGCACAAGACATTTAAATGTCACAGTACCACGGGAAGTTAGGCCCAGCAAACGTCCGCAGGGAAGTCGAGCATCGGCAGACCCCAAAGGCAACTTCCCATCACCCACAAGGGATGTCTCTGAAATCATCTCCGGGACG